ACATAAAAAATTAGGAAATAAATATAAATTATGCTCTTTCATTCTAGAATGTTTAGACTAAATAGATTAAATTCACAACATTATACATTTATTATTTTTATTATATTGACCTTTCAGCTGTGCCTGGCTAAGAATACAGAAGTTAAAATAGTGTGGGTCACGTGCATTCATGTTACTGTATCAAATAACATAAAACTGAACTTTGGTCTGTAAAAAGTAACTTGTCTTGGCTGTAGATTAGTATTTTGTAAAATACAGTCATATTTCAATTATTATTGGTATTTAGAAATAAATTCTTAAACATATTTTTTATTAAAACACAGAATTAAAGAAGTAAAGCAAATATTTATCTCTTTTAGTTACAGCCTTTGTTCTCATTTGCTGCATGATGTAGGTAGCTAAGCTTTTAAAAAATTTTCATGTGGAGGATAAGAAACAAAATATTTTTTTAGGTTCTATATATACATTTAAATAACTAAAAAAATCATAAATTACTATATTAATACCATAATAATTCCACCATAATTTATCAAGTATAGTTTGTAAGCTGTATTTCAGTCTAAAAATACATGAAATTTCAAACAGACTAAAGACACAACCTACTTCCTTGAAACCTTGGTTCGAAAGAAAGAAATGGCGTCCAAGCATGTTAAAAAGGCTGAGAAAACCACTAGGGGGACATTCTGAGCTTCGATTGGTTATTCAAGTCATATATAGAAGTAAGTGTATATAAGGGAGAATTACCAAAAATGGAAAGAGGTGGGTGAGGTGCCACTGTGTTTGATTTATTAGATGAGCAATATCTTAGCAAATACAAAAGACAAGAGGTTCTTATTTTATATTTTAGCTTGTCACTATCAGTAATTTGAATTCCTAATTCATACAAAACTATAGACTTAGTATTTTGATATCACAAACATCTGATTTGAACCAGTGCTGTATTCAACATACCATGTGACACATAAAAATTGATCTTTGACAATGTTTTTTTTAATATTTTCTTTTAAATTAGGAAATTGAGTATGGTATTGTGATGACAGCAGAAGTCACATGACGCAAGTAACACATGATGAGTATCTAAAAGATTCACGAAGAGACGAGATGTACGTTTTTACAGTATATAAGCCGGCAGATAAACTGATAACGGGGGATAATGGAGTCAAGCCGTAAGTAAAGTGTGTAAATAATTGTGAATTATAGCATGTGTTTAAGTTAAAGTGACTGTGGAAATTAAGTGTATTGCAAAGTTGAATTGAGAAAGAATAAACTAGTTTTATTTACGAAAGGATTTGTATCACAGAAGTTTCTGGGAAAGATATTTCTACGGAAAATTAACAAATGAACACAGAGACATAACAGTATAATACTAAAAATTGATTTATAATCTACAGTTTGATACCAAACTTAATGATATAAATTCATGAAACAATAGTCCAATAAAATTTGAATGTGAGCTAACAAACATGATGACATGGCCTTTCACCCATGACCCATATGGATAGGGAAGAATCAAACCACAGAACAAAGGTTTTACTACCACAGTTAAAAACTGTAACTCAGTTTATTAAAGGAAAATAACATGCAAGATAATTGAAGCAGAGGTGTTACACCATGAAACAATGACTTTAATTAAATTAACCTCCATAAGGTGTTAATGTTGTGTTCTGTAACAGCATTTATCTGCAATAATACAACAAAACAAACACTTTAGAAGGAAAGATAACACCCAACTCTGTTAAAGGAAATATGAGTGACACAATTAACACTTGAACCACAAGGGTTTCTCTCATACCTAGATCTGCCATCATTTTGACTGCTACGTATTACAATGTCAGTATTAAAATGAAAGACATATTATTGGATATATTGGACATACAAGAAGGTTTAGTATAAGAGTTATTATTTGTTTAATTTAGTGATTTAATATTTAATGATTATTTAGTTTTTATAACAAGAGTGTTATAAGTTGATTATTTCAAAAGTGATGGAGAGTTGTGACAAGTCTCGTTACATAACTCGGTAAGAGTCTTACAATGTGTGTGTAGTTTAATTGTTATAAATTGACGTCACATTACTCGAACCTTCTGTATTATTCTCATTGCCTTAAGTGAGTATTGTTACATCATAGTATCTTGTAGTTTGTGGACAGTTGTAAGTGTCAGTTGGAAAGTGCATAAATTCATAGACAACTATAAGTTAGTGCAAATTAAGTTCAGTCAGAAAAAGTTAGTTTGTGGAAGAAACTGTGAAGTTAGCCAGCATGTGATTTCTATAGTATGTTTCACAGCTGTATTGTAACAACAGAGATAGGAAAAATAACTTATCTTGTCAATTTGGTTCTAAAGTAATTGAACTAGCCTGTGTGAACTTTTGATGAAAACAAAAAGTGAATTATTTAAAGCTCTGGATATAAAAAGACGTCAGAAAAAGTAAATTAGTGAAAGCGAAGTTAGACTGCATGACATTTTAAAGGGAGTTTCACAGATAAACAGAGATAAGGAGAATAATTTGTCTTGTCAAAAGGTATTCTAAAGTATTTGTACCCAAGTGTATCGCCTTTGACGAAAAGGAAACAATTATTTAAAGTCCTGGATACAACTGTAAAATAAGTGAATTTATTTGAGATTGTAGAGTAAAAAAAATAATTTGTCTTGTCATTGGATTCTAAAGTAATTGAATCAGCCTGTATGGACTTTTGACATGTAAGGAGAATTATTTAGTTTTAGATACAACTATGATATCCATAGTGTAAAGAATTATTGTACATGCAATTGACTTGTTTTGAATGTATTATTTTAAAACAAGTGGATTGTGTGCTGTCTGTTTATTATTCAAATTTATTGCCCACAAGTCAGAGACACCTACTGGAAAGTATCCACAACTCATATACAAAAACCCTGACAGGATACAACTCAAAGGTTTTATCAAATGTAATTACATCTGAAACACTGTGTTACGTCTCTGGTCGTTTGTTAATTTCCTGTATAATTTCTTTCAGATGAAACTTGAACAATACAAGTCCTTTCTTAAATAAAACTAGTTTATTATTTCTCAATACAATATTGCAATACACTTAATTTCCACAGTGTTTTAACTGTTTCCATGTGTTTTAACTCAAACACATGCTATAATTCACAACGAACAATTCAGGCACTTTACTTACTACCGTGCTTGACTCAATTGTCCATCTCTGTCTGTCTGCAATTATTTATCTCTATGTATCTATCTATATCGTCACTTTTTGCCGGTCTTATATATGTAAAGTAGAAGGAGTATCTAGCAAACTCTAGGACGTTCAACAAGTTACTTGATCTTTCTAGAACTCCAGTGCATGCTCCCAGTGTCGCGTGACTTCTGCTGTCGTAACAACTGCATTAAAATTAATAATTGTAAAAACAAAAACAACAGTAATTTAAATACTATAATGAAATAAACATCAAAAGAAACAAGTTAGTAAACAGCTATATGTATATACACAAAACTTCAAATACAAAATAGTAGGTAAACTATTCTAAACAGCATATGTTTGTAAAACAACTGTGAAGAAAATTATGTGTATCCCATTATAAACTAGCCTAAGTGGCACAATCCATGCAGGGGAACACTCTTCAACTTTCACTGTGTATTTACCACACACAAGTCATTCACACAGGGCACATTTATTATCTAAAGTTCTGTTTTTGTTACATTGTTTTCTTATACGTGTTTTACTGGATACAGCACTGGATTCAGGCTGAGATGCTTGGTGCTTTGCAGTTTTCTCAAACATGTTTTTGCTCATAGCTGTGAGGCTAGCTTCAAGATGAAATCCCTCCTACTTATACTTTCCTTATACAAAACAAAAGAATTGATGACTGACAGGTCCAGGGCATTGTAAAATACAACAACTGGCCACCAACAAGAACCAGCTTTTACTGAGTACTGATGTGCTATCTGGTCTGCAACATCCACTTCATATTTTCTCTGGTTGCACAGTTTCTGGTTTTTCTTCTCAGTAGTGTCAATACCAACTGACATGTGAAGAGAGCTAAGACTGCAAACATTCTTCCTTGGCTTGCACTTGTAAAAAGTCAGTGTAGCGAGGTGTAAACAGTCAGTGTAGCGAGGTGTAAACAGTCAGTGTAGCAAGGTGTAAACAGTCAGTGTAGTGAGGTGTAAACAGCCAGTGTAACAAGGTGTAAACAGAGTCAGTGTAGCAAGGTGTAAACAGAGTCAGTGTAGCAAGGTGTAAACAGCCAGTGTAGCAAGGTGCAAACAGAGTCAGTGTAACAAGGTGTAAACAGTCAGTGTAGCAAGGTGACTGTGTTTCAAAATTGTGCTAGTGTACAGCTCTGGCTATAAGTTTAGTGTGGATGATGGAAGCTCTCTCCTTGATTTGTTCCAACAAGGCTGCTTTTTTATTTCTTTCACCAATCCAAGTGAAGTAAAATAATAATCTGTAGTCACATTCCTAAGTTCAGTGCCATCAGCCTGAGAACCATTCAGAATGTATTTTGAGGCAATGTCTATTGCCTGCTAAAACTATATTCTAAATTTGTTGTGTTTGCCATGCTTGGCTATCATTACACAGTGATCAGCCGTTTGGTCAGAAAACATGTTGCCACCCAGAATGTTAAGGACCGTCCTCGATCTGGTCAACCATCTGTAACAACCCAACATGAAGATAGGAGCCTTGGTAGATTGGTCAGATGAAATACGTTTGCAACAAGCACCCGTCTTAAAAGGC